AGAGTCGTTCTTAACTTGAGTGAATATTTTATGAGGAATGAAAATAAGAATTCAATGATTCTTTTGTTGTCACCAGTCAATTCAGCCATCTAGCTAGCTTGGCATCATATCTCATTGAATCAAACAAATATAGAAACGTTCTCAAGGGAACAGTATTTTTTTCTGGATGAAAAGCACCATAAAGTCTTTTCTGTACCCTACGTTTTTGTGTTCAGACAGCGTATATAAACTACTAGCATTTGCCCGCGGCTCCTCCCGCGTGAATGTTGGTTATTGTGGTAAAAAATAACGTATGTCTTTCGTCGTGAATCAAACTATCTCCATACCAAATTTCATCTAAATCGGTTAAGCGCTTATTGATTCCCTATACAAACTTCCACCCCAATTTTCAGCCCCTTAAAGAATGGAATCACTTCTGGAATTAAAGACTACCCTATGTCCTTTCCCGGGTCACGGACGATCTCTGTACCAAATTTCATATAAATCGCTTAAGTGGTTTAAGCGTGAAGAGGTAACAGACAGACAGACACACTTTCGTATTTATACTACAAGTATGGAATAGTACCTATGGATATGATAAAGTCGTGAAAACATTACAAACATAAAATAAATAAAAATGCGTACTCCTTATTTAAAGGTTGGCAACGCGCTGGTGACTCCTGAGTTGTATCCGTTTCATGTATGTTTGTAAAGTCCCTTGCGACACAGGATATATGCCTAATGCGGGAGTTGTTTTGTTATTAAAAAAAAATAAAAAAAATACTGTGGTTGTGGGAGGCTTTATGGACTGCAGGTGCCAATGGTAGTTTCTTATTATCAGGTGATGCAACTGCTCTTTTTCCCCCTATACGGTACAATGAAAACGTGCAAACATACCATAAGAAAACAACCAAATAATAACCGACATACACGCGGGCGAGCAAAAGCTAGTAAGTGTTTAATTGTTTACAAGAAAATCCTTCTTAAATAAAGTTGAACCGACTTCAAATAATAATAACAAGGAGCACTAAAAACCTATCAGCAATCGTGGTTGATTTCGTGTAATTTTTAGTTCCGTTGTCTATCCAAGTGGGACCTTTTCAGGATAAACCCCTTTTGAACAAAAAAAATTGACGAATTGCTACCCTCCTCCTTTCTGAATTCGGTTAAAAAATGAACTAATATTAGAATTTACAACATTGCATAAAAAGATTAGGATATCAAAATAAAGATGACAGTTATACTTTCTGTAACTCGAGCTATTCAAAGAGAGGCAACTCCACTCCACAATTTATCAACATTCTCTATACGCTAACAATAATTTAATGTGCATCCATTCTATACCATTTCCATTCTATTCTATCCATACTTTGTTTGATTCTCCCAAAGCAATCTTTGTGAGTAATTCACCATTTATTGCGAGCACCAACTTAGATGACAGCATATACAAGTTAAATTGTTACATGACCGCAGAGACTTCAAGTTTGTAACTTGAATAGTTAGCTTTAAATCAATACTTAATGGTAAAGCAAATTTACATATACTTTTGGTAAATAATGTTGGTTCTTTAATGCACTAATAATGGCAGACTACAGTTCAAACGAGAATTCCTTTGAGATTTGTTACTCGGATGAGCGTTCTGTTGTCAGATTACCTTTAATTAAAAGAGTTTAATAAGGCTAAACAGTAATGCTGGTGGTCTGGTAGTTCCAGTTTTTTTTTCAACTGTGTCGCGGGGGTCTTTACAAACATACATGAAACGGACACAAAGAACACCCAGACTCAGAACAACAATTTGTGGATCACAAAAATTGTCGTCCCATGTGGGGATCGGATCCACAACACTCAGCGCATTAGTGAGCGGATTGGCGACCGCTTAAACCACTACGCCATCTGTGCAGTCAAATTGGTTGAAAGGCAAAATAATTGTAGTCATAATTGGCTGTTCTTCAAGAAAAAAGAAGTGGGCGTAAAAGACAACATTCCTGCTACTGCTACTTAAACCAACTTTTGAGATCCGCAGTATCCAAAACTCGAATACCTTGATAATTGCCTACCTATGTGACTTGAAGATACAACTTGTAATATTGACAGTATTTGTTTTGCTATGGCTTTGGCATTCGAGTTCTTAACAAGTCACGTAAGTAACATTACAAAGTAATTTATAGTGCTTCTCGCAACATCCTACGGAGTTTCTGCAGTGATTCCTAAGCCATTTAAAATTATCGATTGTCCGTGTAGTGACGGATTAAGAATACGGAATGTCACTACCCCAATTCATCCCGTGGGTGTCGTAAGAGCCGACTAAGGGTGCAAAACACCGCAGGACACCAGCACTGCAAAAAGAAGAAAACTTGACACAAACCCTATACCAACCCGTCTGTACTATATAGTAGGCCAAAACCTCCTTTGGAAGAAGAGGCCTATTAAAGGCTATTGATGATGATGATTGTTTATCGCTAAAGCTAAGTTAATGAAAAAAAAGAAAAAAAAAGTAATTTTTATGATTAGGTAATTGATTTTTAAGTGCCTTTGGAATACGGTAAAGTTTATCAGGATTAACCATATATCTGCCTTTTCCCAAGGGTCATAAAATTCATGACGACCGGATGGCGTAGTGGTTTGTGTAACGAACTGCTATTCTAAAGGTTGCGGGTTCGATTCCCACTCACGTCAAACATTTTTGTGCATGAACATTTAATATTTGATTTGGTCCAGGTGTGTCTATGTATAATATGTATGTATTTACAAAAAAAAAGTGTAAATATATATATATATATATATATATATATATATATATATTTTTATCAGTTGTCTAGTAGCCATAGAACAAGCTCTGTTTAGTTTGGGCTTTGTGTGAATGTGGTAGAATATTATTGTACACTGTTTTATTACAGAATTTATTTTCATTATGACATAATACTCGTACCTTTCTAGAATGTAGAATAATCGTAAAAGGGTAAAAAATCGCTGGATAGTACAGTGCCGATTTATATTATTAGCCAAGAGTTAATATTGTACATACAAGAGACAAAATAAGCTTGCGTTAAAAGACGTTTGTTTTAAATCAGGAACCCATTTTCTGTGATAGGAATAGAACTCATAACAATAGGATAACTCAACAAACTATATATTATTGAGATCTGCGAAGCTAAAGAAATGTTATTATGGCAGATTTTAGCATTTGTTGTAAGAGCTCTCTTACTTTATTTTATGGTTTGCTACTGAAATGTAATCGGTATTTACGTTGTACAAACACCATTTCGTGTAATTTACATAAAATTGATGTTATTGCGTAAATACAATCGTATGTACACAAAAAAAAAACGTTTAAGCCTCACGTAGTATTACTAATACATTAAACTTACTAAATAACTATACCTAAACCAGTTTCTAGGTATTTTTCATTAAAGAGTTGTAAACTGCCCGTTAACTACAGTTAGTCTAATTCTACGTATGCTCATTGTCAGCAATGGAACAAAAATAAATTTAATTTGTAAGTTCTCAATACTGCCGTCCTTTCAAAACTACCTACTAAGGATTTTTTTGGCATCGAATGCTCTTTGATTCATCTCAGCTATTTCTCCAAGGGGTTCGAACGGAACTAATATCTGTAGGCCATTGATTTATGTTCAAACTTAGATCACGATGTGACTCGGGACCCCAATCAGATAATGAAATAGGAACTAAGTTCAGTGATGTAAGACCCTCTTTATTTAACTTTTAATTTAATGAGGCCAAGAAAATACAGTATAAAGTTGATAGAAAGATAGTGAAAGATTTATGAGTTTTAGAGAGATAGAAAATAGTTGTAGGACTTGTGTGACTGTGATATGTAAGAAAATGCAATTTTGAATCCAATAATGAAGACAAGAATTTATTTTCAAGATGTCTGATTTATTTAGACGGATTAATTATCAGTGAGAAAAGGAACGAAGTGTCTTTATAGAAAAACGTATACACAATAATTATTACGGAATATTAATGGTGTGATACTCTCATAAATTTTGAATTTGGATCTAAGATTATTAACAGTCTGTCATTAATGAAGGTTAGAACTATATTTTGCTTCAGTGAACATGAGTTATTTTAGAAGCTTAAAAAAATAAATTTGGAAAAAGACCTTTAATCAAAGTTATTTTACTTATCGCCACTACGCGTTCATTGATATTTGTTTTACTAAATGATTAAAATATATTAATATATCATACAGTTATGTAATATCAAGCATTGTCATGCAACAATGCATGCATTGCCCTGTGGTGACGGATTAAGAATACAGAGTGTCATCCCCTCGGATACCACCTATCGGTGGCATGTCGGACTCGAACCGACTAAAACCGCACGCCGTCTCGGGTACTAATAGCCGGGGAACCAGGTATACCCTAGAAATTAAGTCCCTGGTGCCCCGACATACCTCGGGCCATCTACAACAACAGGTAGACGACCCCCCCCCCCCCGTGTGGGAACCCCGGCCTGCTTCTGCTAGGGTGACAGATGGCCTCACCTGTCACCCCCAGGCCTGCGCTTATGGAGGACGGAGGTCGTTCTGCGACCTCCGGCGCCTGAAGTGTCACCACCCCTAGTCATCCCGAGGGTGTCGTAAGAGGCGACTAAGGGAGCAAACTACGCAGGACAACAGCACTGCAGAGAGAAGGAAAACTTGACACAAACCCTATACCAACCCGTCTGGCCAGCATTGTATAGTAGGCCAAAACCTCTTTCTAAGGAGAGGTCTACGTCCAGCAGAGGACTACTAAAGGCTGTTGATGGGATGTGATGATGTCATGCAACATGCTCTTGGCGAGCTGTTGAGTTACTATTTTTTTTTGACAGGAATAAATGATTCTATTAAACACCGAAATAGAAAAATAAAACCTAAAATAAGACTTTCAAAAAGGATTTTAATAAAATCTAACGCAAAGAAGCGGTAAATATTTTAATCTAACCTCATAATTCCTTGGTAATATAACGTTCAAAATTATAATTAAGGTTTCTCGGCAAATAAACAAACGCTTTATTTACCTCAGACAGTTAGTGTTAAGCCAACGTTGTGGATTGGGATCGCACCCGGGGCCATCATCCCTCCTTATTACCTTATTTAAATATTGAAAGCTTACCTCCGGGTTGATCGTAGGCGGCATCACAATTTTCTTCTGCGGCGGGGATCTTAACACCACATTTTCATCTCTTATTATAATCTGCGGCTCCATTGCAAGAAGTTTCTTCTTGCATTCTTGCATTTGCAAGCACTCCTTGTCTTTTCTTGATAACACTGATTCTGAAGACGCATGCTTCGATGAACACACGGATGTATTTTTACTCGACAGTTTTAAACTGTCAACAGAAGCTGTCATTTTTGCACTTTCTTTGCCGTTTGAGGACGCCATTTTAATGTTTGAGATTTACTTCCATAAATTTGTGTGCATGAAAGTCTTGATAATTCAAATGTACAGACAAAAGATAATATTGTATTAATATCCTGTTTGATTTTTTCTATTCACTAAGTTTTTTATGTCCATCTCTTTATCACTACACTACAATTTAACGCTGTTCTGTAATTTTAATTATTTTCTTCTTAGTTAAGTGAATATTTAATAGTTAAGAAGTATTTAAACAAAAACAGACCTAACTTAATTACGAGGGGTATTTACGTACCTAAATTAAGAATTATATTTTTATTAATAAGCTTCTATATAGAAAGAACAATCAAAATTTAATTATATTGTTATAAATACTTTTGTGGATTTAGCTCGCTTAACATTTGCATGACCTTCATTCGAATATGTTTATATCGGAGATGAGTTTCGAGGTTAAATTTGACGTCTATTTTTGTATTGTCAACCAAAATAAATTGAGATAATGGAATTGCCATTACTGCATATTATTTATGTATTAAATTCATGCACATATATATTATGTCCAGAAGCGGACTTTATGCCAAGGGTACGATTATTTATGGTACACTATTTTTTGCCTGTTAGTCGATCGCTGTTTTGTGTTTATCATATTTTTTTGGATAAAACTGTCTCTATACTAAATTTAATCCAGATCACGTTATTATAGTAGTAAAAGTACATTTTGAAGACATCTTTCAACGACTTATGGAGCCTTTAGACTTTATCTTATTGCCTACACACCTATGATCTAGAATTGAACCGTGATAAATCCCAGGATATGCCATACTGAACCAGGGACTTCCTTTCTAGGGTATACCTGGTTCCCCGGCTATTAGTACCCGAGACGGCATGCGGTTTTAGTCGGTTCGAGTCCGACATGCCACCGATAGGTGGTATCCGAGGGGATTTCCGCACGGAAAAAAAAAGAAAAAGAAAGGATATGCCATACTGCGCCTTAAATTGGCTACTGGGATTGGGTACTGGAATGGCTGTTGAAAGACAGTCTTTGGAATTTGGAAATCATTATATGGTTGATATTAGTGTTCCTGACTGCTCGATTCCCACCCAGAATAAATAATTGTGTGACGAGCATGATAATTTCTTTTGTGTCTGAGTGTGATTTATCCATAATATCTTAGAAATATTTAAGTATATTAATCAGCGCCGTCTGGTTAACAAAGTACAAGTTCTGTCAAGTTAGAGATCAGACGACCGTGTGTGAGATGTCTAAGGTTATTATTATCCTACTCCCTCTCCCTACCCACATACAAATACACACATCAAAAAAGTCTAAGCAACACGCATCATTTACAGAAACTGCATGTTATTTTATATTTTTCTTTGATACTTTAAGTGTTTCTCAGTAAAGTAGATTGGTAGACATTATTTTTTTTTGTATTCGGAAACATACCTATCCTAGCTGATTTTATAAATAGAAACTTTTGATTGTGTTTGTTTTTAATTAAAATAAAAGCTAATTATAGTTGCCCGATTTAATGTGTTTTCTTTGCTTGATAAACTTGGTATTTATTTTAATTTTATCATTTGAAGATATACAGTTTTTGAAAAAAATATGTGGTGAGTCATTTTTATGACATGTAGCGATGCCATTTAACTGCTGATGAAATGAAGAGAGCTGTAGGAAAGCTACAGCTTGAAGAAATCAGTCCAAGGTATCTCGGCATTTTGGTGTCAATAGGAGCATGATTTGTCGTCTTTGGCAGTGTTTTGTCAACAGATGATCCTGCTGAGCAGCACCCAGGACGAGTAAGGAGTACAACTGCTCGACAGGACCGATACATACCACTGACTGCAAGACATCAGCCGATATTAACTACCTGAAAGCTAGATTTAAAGCTACAATTTTCAAGCAGTGTTGTTATTAGCCACCAAACCGTGAGAAATGGGCAGCACGAATAAGGCCTACAAGCACGATGCTGAATTAGTTGCCCACCTATGAACTATGGGATTTGTGCCAATCAAAACGAATGATGTAGGGAACACTGGACTTGACTTGGATCCCGGAGACATGGAATACATTTTTATTTTACGATGAGTCCCGGTTTGGATTTAGGGCTGATACGAGAAGGGTAAAAGTATATGGTCGTCCCAGGTAATGCAGAATACCTGAGATGCGTACAAGAAGTGCACCCTTACAGTGACACGACAGTGATGGTATAGGCCGGTGTTATGAAGAACAGATGAACTGAGCTCAGTTTTGTAGATGGCAATTTAAGCGCTCAAACTTACGTTTAAGATTTCCTCAGGCCTTATGTTCACCCATTTAACCAAAGTTTTGGCTCGGATTTCACGCTGATGCAAGACAATATGCCTTCACACACAGCTCGGGTATTACCATGGCCTGCGCAATCGCCAGACCTCAATCCCATCGAATACCCATAGGACATGCCTCAGAAACGAGATCTAGAGAACCTGAACGGAGAGTCGATAACCCAACTGAAACTGAAAGACTTGTTTGAAGACTTGTTAAAATTCCACTATGAGCGTTTGCCGCAGGATCAGATAAACAATCTTATAAAATCAATTAAAAGTCGTTTCCGACAAGTTTTAAACCACAGAGGCGGTGCTTTGTATTGAATTATTAAATAATTAAAGAAAAATCCATTATTTCATTTTAGTAAAACATGAAATATTTAATATGCTTTTAAGTTTATTTTATACTACGTATATTACAGTACATTTATTGTTAGTTATTGTGATTAAATGAACAATTGAATGAAGGATTTTGTTGCTTTACTCACCAATTCATCAAAGAATGCTTGGTTATTATTTATATAAGAAATATAATAGTACAATAGTAGAAATCGTTCAAAAGTTCAAAACACAAGTACATGTTGCTGAGACTTTTTCGATGTGTGTGTTTGTTGCATGACATGATTATTAGAAATATATATAAATATCTAGCCCACCGACAAATACAACAAACTGTTCGCGAGTTGTTTGCTCTGCAATTTTTCATAATCAATCGCTTTTTATTGTTTACACTACGGATAGTTGAGTGTGTTTATTTTTAATATAACATGTGTTATGTTTGGAGGATAAAATAAACCATTGTTAGGTTTTTAGAAAATTGATGGGCAATTAATAATATTTTATGTAATTAATGGGTAAAATGTGGTTCGTCGTTCATGAATCTTATTAATTTATTATGAAAACCACTGTTACACATACTGGTTAAGTAGCTGTTGGTATTGGTTTTAAATTGAGATAGTTCTTCATATCTGATATGAAGAACTATCTTTTTTGTTCAGAATAATAATATTTTGGTTTTTATCGCCGTTCTTCTATAAACAGCGAAGATAATTTATTTTTTTGTGCGCCAGCAACGTCACTGAGTCACGGAGATAGCATCTATGTGATTAATAAATATCAACTGATACGATACCTACTTAAGGTGCCATACTTAAGTTATTTTTATAAGGTAAACAAAGAAATACCCGCAAGTTTCCTATACCGCAAAAGTAGGGTTCTACGGGAAATTACGGAATACTGCAAGTACCTTCAACGTGAATGTAAGTAGCGCCAGCGTATTAAGAGTTAAGAAATAATAGCTGATCGTGGTATGGACGTGTGTTGTGAATGTATGATTTGGGAAAGACAGGAAACGGCGACTTTGTATTTATTATATTATATTAAAAAAAAAATATTTCGTAATAAAAAAGCGTGGGGTGCTAGATATAAATTGTTGTTAAAATATTTTACGTTATTTTAAAAATACCTTAAAAAGCACCCCACGCTTAATTTTTTTTAATTTTTGAACTTATAGAAAATTATTGCCTACTTTTTAGTTTGGCTAGTTACAAAAGGGTGTTTTTTTGTTTTTAAACTTTAATTTATTTTTTCTTTTTAGTCATTAATGATGATTATTTTCTTATTAAGACTAAAAAAGTAACAAGTAAGTTTAACACATATGCTTTAGCACACGCCTTAGTACGTGCCAAAAGACACTACCATATTTTTAGGTATGGACAAAGACGTTAATCCTGGTCCTGATCAGGATAATAGGACAAACTATTTAAATAATTGTATCATCATCGGTCCTTGATAAATGTGCAAAGTTTCAATTTAATTCGACGTTTTGAAGTAGGTTAAAATCACGTTTAAAGATTCCGTTACGTACACACATACATATATATAACAAGCTAATAAAAGCGTGTTAAATGAACAGTCTAATTAAAAATAATAGATTATGAAGTTACTAGCGAGAAAAGTATTGAAGATTGAATGGACAATGTTGTGCGAAAATGATCCAATCCAGGAAAGAGCCAAAACTGTAGCATTGATGCTAAACCATCGAAAATGATCTGTATTTATAACAGTTTCAGAAAACACCTCCATATTATAATCATTCGAAATCTTTTTCATTGATTTGATTTGCAATAATTGCCCCTGTCGGTCTAGCGAGCCTTAGGAAAAATATTGTGTGATTAAACGATCATAATATATTCTGTGTCTGTGTGTAATTTATCTATAAATTATTTATATTTGGGCATATAAAAGCATATTTATTAGGAATATATGTGATAAATTTACTTATAAGAAATTAAACACATACATAAATAAAAAGAAAATAAATAAATACATAAGTTCCTCCATTGAACTAATACATTATAACTCAATGTAGTTCCTCACCAAGCTACACAGCTCGTTGGCGAGATACGCTCGTTAGCTGTTTTATATCTTAACTAGCCTTTGCCCGCGACTACGCCCTAGTGTATGCCGGTTATCGTAGTAAAAGTAACCTATGTTACTCGCTGATAATGTAGCTTACCATCAGTGAAAGAATTTTTAAAATCGCTTAAGTGGTTTAGACGTGAAAGCGTAACTAACAAACAAACTCAAATTCACGTTCATAATATAGGGATGGAAGTATGGATACCTAAAACTGCATTATATATGTGTGCCCGATTAACGGGTAGTCTGCAAAACGTGCGCTTGTAAATACTGTATGCCTGTATAAAAGATGTGAG